CAAATGGCTTTTATTATATCTAATTAAGAGTGAGGGGACAATAGCACAACAACTCTAACTTATTTAAATAATGTTCTACATTTTGGGGAAGAGAGAGAGAACTGGCGTTGATTTCTGTTGATTTTTCCCCCCCCTTTCAACATCAATGATTCTACGGCTTTTAAACGTGAAGTGGACTGTTTATCTGAAAGTGTGCTGGCAGACTGCCACCATATTTCTAAGATTAAAGAAAGGATTGAAAACAATCAGCTTTCCGAGGAACTGAAACCACGACAATATGTTTCTGATTAATTTACAAATATATGTATATATTTAAGGCTAAACTACAGAACCAGAAAATTCCTACTAGTTAGTCTATCACAGGCATTCTTACACTTAATTAGAACAGACATCATATTGAAATAATAAGCATGGGAGGCCTTCATTTTTTCTTTGATCTGTATTACTAAATGTCTGACTGGCTCAGATTTAAAATAAACTTTGGTATGTTTGCACTTGAAAACTGGAAAAAGACCACAAGTAATAATTTGTTGTCATTTTCCACATTCTCTAACTGAAAACTGTAGTTTCGCCTGTACACTGCTGAATGCCAGGCAATGTTAGTCCAGTCACCCCTGCAGTGGCTAAGCTTTCTTGTAGGAATACATGCTCTAGTATGGTAGCAATGATGATAGATCACTTCATCAGCATGGAACTATCTGAGATGAATTAAAGGTACAGGTCATGGCTTTACCTGGTTTCCAAATCTCTTGCAGGTTAGTGTCATTACAGCCTTAAATACACAGGTATGTACTGGAGTAACATGGAGCTCCTTTTTTCTCTGAACATCTAAGGGTCATGATTTCATGATCTAAGCCCAAATGCGTCACAAATGTGAAGGCAAGATTTTAAGCTGTTTATTGATGGCTCTTCAGTGTGACTTTAAAGTATTTTTACTGTATAAATGTTGTCTATTTGCTTTCAATAAATTAAATTATAATAAACAGAAGTGTTTAAGTGCCATCTCTGCCTAGCCTAGTAGGGTTTGGTTCTATACTCAAGTGTTTATATATATCTAGGTAATAATTTTACTCAGATTAAGGTGCAAGTTACAAAGTTTCATATAAGATTAGTTTATTTTCTTATTTAGAAATCTGAATTCAGAGGAAGGAGCACAGAATGGAGTTTCTGATCAGGAAGTGAAAGAATCTAAGTTATTCAGTCTTAAAAAGCATAACGAGTACAAAAAGCTACAGTTTATTACCAATGTCAGGATTAAAGAATACATTGACATTGTTTTTTCTCAGCCTATTAAAAGCATTTGTTAATTTTCTATTTAAACACGAGTCTTGGTAGCAAATGAGTTAATGCTCATAAAAAAGGAAAGAGCTTTGAAAATCTCAACACCTCTAAAAATTCCCATTCTATTGAGCATATCTCATCACTTTATTGCCAAGGTAACCATGGGTATCTCATGAACTCTTTGGTGCTACTGAATGGACAAATACCAGTGCCGCAAAACACCTAGTCCTCTATCTACAAATGATAAGACCATGCTTCAGACACAGGACTGAACTCTAAAATGGATGCACTCCTGATTCTATGAGATGACTGCAACTCATTTAGGAAAGAGAGAAACCATTTAAATTCCAAAAGTTTCAGAATTCAACAGCAACAGAAAGTTGCTATGGGCATATTTACCTGACAGACTATGCATTGGTAGGGACTCCATTTAAATCTTGGTCCTAGCTATCTACAATATCACCCATCACTTCACATCACAAACTTTTTGATCTCTTAACCATCTAACACTACCTAAAGTGGTGAAGGAAAAGAGAGACTTTCACATACAGAATTGCAGAACCAAGATTAATAAGCATGCATTTGGAAAAGATTAAGGGAATCTCCTGGACCAAAAGCTTTTCAAACTTTCATTAAAGCTTACCTGCTCGATCCAGCTCTCCTAGAACAAATATTCTTCTCTGTTACGTGCATACATCCTGTCAGACATATTGTAATAGTTCTCAAGCATTGATGCTAACATTCTAAGCAGAAAGATTGTGTTTATATCTCTGTTAATTCCTTGAGAAGACCACTCATACTAAAAATGGTGAGCACTAAAGCACCTGGACAGACAGACTGAGCTGAAGAATCAGTTACTATGAACGATCTAACACCAAACACAACAGTGCCCAGTAGCCCTGGAGCTCCCCTATCATTAAAGGATAGCCATACTTCCTACTGGATAGCATAGAACTAATTTCAGCCATATTCTGCTAGTTAAGCTGAAGCAAGAAAAATTAAAAAGCAGAGCTAGAGTAGATATGGCCCAAGGGCCTAAACACCCCACATCTGCCATATTCCTGGCTCTTGCTGTTCTGACGAACAAAGGATCAGGAGGACCCACTTTTCTGTGTTTTGCCACTTGAAAGACATCAGGTAACACATTCAAAGAGACAAGCTGATGTGCTAAGGAAGTTCAATATACATGAGAGGGTGGCTGATGACATATGGCTGCTTTTAGACACAACAAAAAAGAAAGATGACCAGCTGTGTGGATTGCAGAATGAAAGCTTGTGAAGCACATTTACAGGAAAA